TGACACATGTACAAGCTTGTCAGTTTAGTTTCAATATCGTAGGTAAGAGCCTACATCCTACCTCTACCATAAGCATTTTCCTATCTACACTTCTACTTTCTGTTCCTTTAACATTTACTGATTAGACAATATAAACATGTACCCAGTTATTAGTACAATTCTGCACATTAAAATGTGTTAGGGTTAGAACCACAAATGCAACTCTATCTTAGGCTTTCATTAATGAAGCTTGCTGAACACCTGAAGTTATTTTTTGTTAATATAAAACAAAATGACTTAATGTTATTGAAATTAACCCATTGTTGAGATAAGGTAAAAATTACACCTGAAGTGCTTTGCTTTCATTAGTGCAATGAGATGGAAGCTGATGCAGGATACTACTTAGGATTTTTCTTACTGAAGAGACACACTATTTCACATGAGAGAAGGGAGCAGGAAAGGAAGGAAAACTCTCCGGGCTCCTATTATAAAAATCCACAGCACAAAGGAAAAAATAAAATAAAATAAAATTTTGAAAAAATATGCACTTCCAGTACATAGCTGCTTTTGCAGGTCCTCAAGATCACTGCTTTAAGTAAAATAAATTTGTCTCAGCCTACATGGTCATGGGAGACCCTCTCTGAAACTGCCACCCACTGTTTCAATTTGATTTTGTGAGTTGAATTTGCATATGAGTTATTTGATATCAATTCTTGTCCAAGCAATAGGAAATGTTCCTCCAAAGGTTTAACCTGTGACAAGCCTCCTCATTACTTCCAAGTCCAGAAAAAGGACATGAACTCTGTATTTCTCTACGGGCAGACATCAGATGTACTTTCTAGTAGATGGCCACTCTTTCAGGCAAGAGCTCATACCTCAGTGATATGATTAATCTGAGAGATTATACTGGTGCCACTGTGTGCCACAAACTTGTCTCCACACCCAGAGCCTGAGGGATGAATTCTCCTGTTACACACATTTTGACACCCTGGAAGATTTTAATAGTTTTACCAGGCACCAGCTGTGAGCCAATCTATCTTGCTGGCAGCCGCAAGTACCAGACTGCTTTATGCTTTCCTTTTCTTCGGTGTCCAGGTAATCTTTGGTTTTGGAACTTTTTGTGAATGTTAACAGCATCAATCATGCATCAACAGCAGAGATATGTGGCAACAAGAGTGCAGAGCTGCCAAAAGCAAAGAACTTCCCACCAAAAAAATTCTTCTTACCAAGCCATCTATTAAAGAAGAACAGAAAGAAAGAAAGAAAGATAGAAAGGGAAAAAAAAAAAACCAAAACCCCGCCATCTGACAAACACACTCCTACACTACGATCCCCCCAAACCCGGTAGCTGCTGGGGACTTGTTCTCTAATCAAGCCTTCACATTTCTAATCCTCAACACTATCTTTCAACCTGATAATTTCTCCTTTATGTAGTTATTCTTAGCTGTGTGCAGAGACAGACAAATAATACCGTAGCCTTATTATTTTGAAAAAAATTTCTCTATTTAGAATGACTTTGGATTGAGAGATACTAAAGAGGAAAACAAGCCACATGCGAAGACTCATAGTTTGCTTTTCACTGTGCAGTAAACACACATGGGCTGATTCTGTTGCAATCTCTACTAGAGATATTTTCCTCATACAGTATCTCCACTTCATGCTTTACTAGGAGGCACTAAGGTGGCTAAAAAACCCTCACCCTTTAACTTATTTCATACAGTTTGCAAATGACCTATCCCTGTATGAAAAGCAGCGTACTTCTGAGACAGGGCTAGACAGACAAAATCATAGGTAGTAACCTCCTGACTGATAGCCCATGGGTTAGAAATAAAAATCTACCTATGTCCATGCAAATTTTTTCACTGAAGATTAAGTTCAAAATAAGCATGCAACAGAAAAGCAGGAAAAAAGAAAAACAAAGACTACAAGGATAATGCAAAAAAATTTATCTTCAGCTATGGTTGATTCAATCTGTCAATCTAAAACAAAGGGATAAGAAAAATAAGAATAGAATCAGCTCACCAGACATGCAATGCAGACAAACTAACACAAAGGATGAAGAGATCTGGTTTTGCACTAAGTTGGGCCATCAATTCAGAATGAGAAAAATCAGTAAAAAAAGTGATCGGGATTTGGCCCTTTCAGCACAATTCACAGTCTGTCCACAACACTTATTTTTAGCCTATGAACAATCTCTCTTCAAAGCCACTGCTGAGGTGGTAACAAGAAAAAAAAAAAGAGGTTTTAGAAACTCATTTCAGCAGTTCAGCAGCACGTAGGAAAGACTCCCTTCAAGCTAGGTTAGATATCATCTCTTACTCAGATTAAAACTCATCTGTTTGCTGGAAAGGTTCAAGATGGCTTTTTCTGGTACTATAATTCTTGTAAGTTCAGTTTATTTTAAAAGTATTTATGTCACTGTGTTGCCATACTTCAAATTAAAAACATTTCTCTCAATGTATTCAGAAATATATACACATCTATTACCTTTACTCATTATTTATGTCAGCATGTATTTAAGGCTGTGAATCAAAGCCTCGGCATTTTTTTTTTTTAAAGAAAACCTACCTGTAATATTTACCATGAAACTGCAATTGTTGTAATGCAGAAATCCAGATTCTTCACAGGATCAAGAATACCAAAAAGAGTTTGAGGAATACGATTACCTTTGCAGCAACCATGACTCGACTAGTAAGAGCCTGTTACATACTCGTAAAATACTTCAAAGAAAAATTAACAATGACTTCCTTGAGTATTATTTTTGTATGACAATTCAGATCTTCTGCCAGTCCTACTCATTCATGAAAATAATATATTTCTCTTTGCTAAAAGATTTCAGGAGTTCTTTATCTATTAAATGAACTTAAAATACAGAAATCAAAAGCAGAACCTAAGGTATTGCAAAAAGCTATGTACGAACTTGTTTTGAAATATTTATTAAAATACTGATGTTTAAGTTTAAATCAACATTAATCTCAAGCTCATTCTTCAAGTCTAGTTATAGACTTGCACAAAATTCCAGTGACTACATATGAACATTTTCTTTTGTGATGTCTTTATACCATCTATATGCAGCTGTGATTTCACAATAAACAGTGAAGATAATGTGTTGCCTGATGGTATTAGGTAATTGAATACAATAGGGACACTTCCACCACAAATTAAATACAGTGCCAATTAGCCATAACTCATTTAAGTTCAATGTATTAGCTCATATGTGTACATCTCTGTCCCTGTCCCTATCTCTTTTTTCACAGTTACATGCTGTTGTCATTGATGAGTAAAGATATAACAGCATAAAGTTGAAGAGATTTAGATATTCCACCCCACCTCCCCAGAAATAATTTATTTTTCACTGAACAAATTCACCTGGAGAACTGGGTATGGCTCCAAGACCCCCAGTGTCCCAGTAAGGAGATGGCCCCAAGTCATTTTGCAGAACACAGCAAGTTTGCCCTGCCTGTGCACAGAGTTTGCTGGGTATTAGATAGCTCCAAGCCAAAGGTCTTTAGCCATGTTTGTGCATACCCCAGCTCCTCTGCTTTTAAATGGAAAGAATAAAGTCCTATGTTGCACATGTTTTGCCCACAGTTTTCCACTTGGACGTTTTCTTTTTGTTATAATGGAGAGCTGACAGCAAAGAGTGATTTAGTTGAAATACTTGCTAAAGATCTATTCACACAGAGTCAGAGAAGGAACTCTCAGTTTTCATGAGACTGGAGATGCGTATCAGGTAGACAAAAGCTGCATCTATAAGCAGGGATGACAACAGTCTACCATTTCGCAAGCAAGAGAGAATGGCAGGATTCAGAGCCCAAGCCAATTAAGCATCATCACTTCCTTCCATCTGGCAGAGAGACTGCAAAAACATTTAATTAAGGAATCTGATCTCTCTGCCACATCTAAAATAATTCAAACTTTCAGCATTTTCAAGCATTTGCATTTTCAGCCTGTATAATGCAGCCACCTAAACAAACATAGGCAGTTGTGTCAAGCCGTGTCAGTTCAGTGTTATATTGCCATTGGTGTAACGGGTGTGCCTCAAGGCAGAAATACAGGGATTGAGCCCAGAGAACTCTGCATTGCACGGTTTGATGGAGATACACGCATTTATGGTGAATTACAACTGTGAATTATCTGAAATATGACCTAACCTTTTATTTAATCGGAGGTCTACTATATACCACAAACATAGGCAGCTGTAGTTCTCTCTGAATACACAATTTTAAGTTGGAGTAAATTCAAATAATTTGATTTAAATAGTTCTCCAGAATAGAAAAGGAAA